TGGAGTTAAGCAACCAACAAGGAAGAATGGTGGTATTCTGTGGTCAATGGTTGACTAAAATATTTTGTAGTGGATTGTTACTGGGTCTCTGTGGAGGCCTGAAGGACCGCATGGTGGGAAGCAGATATAGGTGAGGTTAGAATAAACCCAGTTTTTTTGGAAATTGGTGGGATGAAAGATGTCATCACTCATTCATATACCTCGTCTGACCAGAATATTGTGAATAGAGTTATTATATACCACATATTTATACTAGTATTGTTTATTTTTAGAAGTTCAGTATCAATATCATCCTATAAACACAGGGGCAATTACCAAGGATTTTGAAAAAACATAAGGACAGCTCTACGAATTCAGATTCTATCGACAAGCAAACATAAGTAGTCAGTGGCTTATCCTAGGGGGTGTGTATGTGGGAGGTTGTGCCACTCAGTTGCCACCCCACCCTTACTGAAAATGTTTGAAGCAAAATAATTATGCTCAAGAAGATAAAAATCACCTTACTTTATGAGTTAACACCCCTTACTTGATCATCGATCCTCCAAATTTACCTATGCACGCTCATTCAGTAACCCAACGCCAATTTAAAAATTCCCAGATATTCTACCAGGATGAGAGGGAGGGGAGATGGGAGCTTATATGGAAGTTGGAGTTGAAGATGGGCCAATTAGGGATGAAAACCACAATTTGTGCTAGATGAACAAATACCATATCGACTAACAATCACACTTCTTCTACATTATGTTAGTAAAATAACAGTATATATATTTGCCATTGAATACTAAATTTCCAAATCTTGTTTGGATATTTTTGCAAGCTGCAATGATCACTCTAGTAACATATGTTTAATCAGTGAGATTAACCCTCAAGAGCCCCCAAAGTACCAGAGGTCAAGGCCAAAGGTCAAAAGATTTGAAAGCATTAATCATTATTATGCTTACTAAGTCATGTTATTGATTGATGCAAGACTCAAAATACACAAGGGTTAAGTAAGAGCAGGAGGAGATAACACATATTTTAGATTTAATTAGGAAACAACATCAATGACTGTGTTTAATTTATTAAAGAGCATTCACACTGCAGTATTTATGCACAGAATTAATCATGCCAAAGAAGGAATGTATGAACGGCCAAAACAAATCTAAATGTATTTACTGTCGCCTTGCCCTTGTGCAAGCCAAACAAACAAATGTTTAAAATTGCAAGTAGAAACAAATTTAATGTTATTTAAACTTTTTAAACTCCAAATCAACTATAATTTAAAACTTATAATCAAAACAAAAACTAAAATGCTGTTGAAGTCATAACAAAACTAACAGTATTATATCAACCAAAATAATTTTTGATGGTGTTTATAAATTAAAACAGTAAATTATTTCAAGTTGATTTTTTTTACTCCAAAACCGAAATTTGTTCTAAAATTTTTACAAAGCTAACACAGTTAAGAATAAGGGTCAATATTGTTGAAAAGCAATCTCAAATTAAATCCTGTTTTAGGATTTAAAGGGTTATTCTTTAATGACAGAGGAAAGAGGTGGGCGGGGGTACAAGACAAGGTTAGTTTGTAGCGTCTCGAGTAAACTTACAGTAGCCCCTGGCACATACCGAAAAAGTGCAATTTTTGGTAATTTTAAACTCTTTTAAGATGTTATTTTAAACTCTCATGGGACATGGCCAGTCTGATGAGAGAACTTAAGCACCCTCATCCTCTCTCCCCTCCTTGTTAGAACTATGGCTGATTTAAATATTTGAAAGCTGTGTAGACAACAACTTGCTCACATAAGAAAGCACATAAAAACCCAATGCAACAATGCACACAGTGGATTGGTTTCCAACAATTACACACTAAGGCTGCCACTAACAATCACCAGGACACAGGTTTGGTCAAGTTTTAATATTAAGAATGAACAAATTTATTTGCTGATGGTCAGTCAGTGGTCAGTAGGGCTGGTCACTCAACAAAATAACAATAAACAGCCTGGCTATAGACACAAACACATCTTGGAAAGATAAAGATAAAACTGATAATTACTGACTCAATATGGAAAACTTTATTGAATAGACATATGCAGGATCCAAAAAAATGATGTCAAACACATGTGTGACTGACTGTAAGTTTGATTGAGTGCTAAGCACATGTAATAAGTAGGCCTACTGCACTTTGAAAGAATGTTGTTTAAATGACTCACAGCTGAGTTTAGTCTTCTGATTTGTTGATCAAACAGCCTAACCTCCATTTGTATGTAGGTGAAATGTTTAATCAATCTTATTGCTTCATGATTTGATCATGTTGGTTGCTTATCCAAGATGTTGAAATTAATACAATACACAATGGCACCCAGAAACTTGCCAACAGAGATCCAAAATGTTGGACAGAGGTCCGAATTAATTAGATGTCAAGGGGGCTTCTAATCAGTGGTGGCACCAGCGTAGGACAGGGTGAATTTGCCCTCCTATTGGACAGGCCTGCACCCCCCATCGCCTGACACCACGACGATGTCATTGGATCAAAAATGAAAGAATAATAATTTGCCTAACCAAATAACTTTGTTTTGATTGCCAATCCCTAATGTTGTGGTCTAAAAGCACAATTGGACCATACTAAGCTCTAACTCTCTCTACAGCAGATTTTCTATTCTGCGACCAGGACCAAGGCTCTCGTCAGCCCTTTGGTTCAGAACCCCTCGTCTGAAATTCTGGAGCCACCACTGCTTCTAATCAGAGTTTGGATTAAAACCTCTAGTGTGAGTTTAGGGGAAAAAATCTTTAGATTTTCGTGTACTTCTTTGGATGGATCCTGCTCTTCCCTGGAGTAATTTTTAGATAATTGTTTTGCTTCCAACAGACAATACAGCCACTTTTGGGCTACAGTATAGTAAACTAGCAGCATTGCACATTTAAACAGAGGTAAAACTCAAAGAAAATGGATGGGGTCACAGTAGGTACTAACTATGTGGGAGGAAAGAATCACACAGAGATTGTTTGGGGATTGGGGATATCACCTCCAACCTACTAGGCAAAACCACAACCATTAAGAATGTAAAAAATTGTTATTTATTATCATTTACGAGGGCACCAAAGTAAACAATACAATTTTCACATTCTGTAAGGCGATAAATTGATTCATTATATTCATTGAAACGAATAGGAACATATTCCAATGGTTAACTTGATAGATGCACTCTACAATTGCCACAAAACACATTCGTAAAATAGAGAGTTTTTAATTGGGAGGTTTGTAATTGGGAGTCAGAGCTGTAAAAAGTTTTTTTTTTGTTGGACCAAGGTCTAGTTTTACCAAAATAATAGCTATTAAATATCAGTCTAGTTTTAATGTATTTTTTGCTAGCCAAGCCCAAAAATAATCTCAAGTCACAGTTTTTAGCCTCACAACCAAAATAACTCCATTCCTGAGCAGCTACAGTAGCTCAGTCGGCTAAACTGGTGGTAGCCACTGTTTGTGCGCTGAACCGTGGAGATCTCTTGGTCCTCGGTTCAATTCCCATCGCGGCTCTATTAGCTTGGAGACCTAAAATATAAGTTTCAGAAAAGCACATTGTACTTCGTTGTCGAAGTTTATGCCATTGGTCCTGTGTGCAAAATGGCCTGTGTGCATGTTAAGAAACGCAGCACTCTTCGGTAAAGAGTAGGGGATTGTCTCCCAGTGAACTGTCCAATTCGCCACCAGAAGGACCCCACTTGAAATAAGTCTCAGGACTTTCGTGGGTTACCATTGGTGTGTACCACACCAATGAAATCCAGTTCAATCCAACCTCATATTGCGATTTAGTTTTTGTAAAGCATCGTGTGCGTAGGTTTGTTTTCTTGTGAAAGGCATTGTCACCTACAAGTAGAACACTGACATATTCATTATTGACAATCCTTGATGCATGTGTTGTGTGCCTAAATAAATAAATAAATAAATACTTGAATTTTTTATATGGTATTTTCATTATGTTTTTCACTCATAAGCCAGAATTGGCTGGTCTCTATTTAAATTTGAGAGTCTGAATAAAGAACAAACTACTAACTTATATGTTTTTTTAGCTTTCAATTCAAAATACAAACTAGAAAATACTTTCCACGCTAATTTAACATTCACATGAATGTTACCATTCCTAATTTTTTTGCACCTGCCTTCAATTGGCTGTTAATAATTTTTTTAAGTAAAATGTCTGTAAATCACTGAAAATAAACTGCTTTGAAGGGGAAACCTTTAGGCAAGAAAAAAATGTGTCTCCCTAATAGAGGTGTCCCCTATAAATTTTTCACTTTATCCACAACCAAAAAAGTTTCTCCTTAATAAGGGTGTCCAAGAGGAGGGGTTCTACTGTATATCACTGCAAGTTGACAAGCTTTTTACATTAGCCACCTGTTAGTGGCAAACCTGGTTATGAGAGAATTCGCCAGAAAAAAGCTAAGGGTCTATAAATACTTATTTTTTTAAAGTTGTTTTTCAAAACATTTCTAGATCACCTGGTTAACAAAATCAGTGTAGAAAAAGTTTCTAATATTTTAATAGTTTAATACAACCAGGAAGTAGCAATTTTGAAGTCAATTATTCTCTGAAATCAATTTATGCTTTAAAAACAATAAAAAAAAAAATTCCAAATGTTTCTTTTGAATATGTTTTTAATCTTTCATGGAAAATGTTGGAGAGGAAAGTAGTGTCTTATCCGCTTCGTAATTCCCTCCATCCTACATTGGAAACACATGCTACCAACCTCCATGGATAATCACATAAACACTATAGAAGACAGATCTATATAATACCTTCCAAATCTCCACTATATAGCTTTATCCAATCACATTCCATAAAAGCAATTACGTGGACTTAACATCATCTTTCGTTGGAAAATCAATGGTTAAAACCATTAACAACATCTAATCGGTTGACACAAACATGAAACCATCTTCATTGGTTTATAATCCCAAGAATGAGAGAAAATATCCAGAGATTAAGGTGGATTTAGAGGAATAAGTGTTATTAAATTGCTTACCTGGTTTATCCCAGCCAAAAGGATTATCCATTAACACCTTTGAATAAACACTTTCAGGAATGCCGGCAAGTCCCCGGGAGGCATCAATAACGATGTCATTTGGATCCGTACTGCCAAGATAAAAAAATCAAAGTTATTTCTTTCCATGTTAAAATAAGGAAGTTTTTTATAATGATAAAAAAAATTATGAGACATGTTTATTTCCTGGCTAAGGAACACGCTTTTGCATTAAATGTTCCCAGTCGGAGTAAACAACCTAGTAAATGTTTCCTTGGCTAAACGCAGGTTGAGTAATTTAACCATGGGGGAATGATACCCAGGCAGTTAGCAATAAATGTTGTGGTCAATCTGTTAAAATAAATTTTAATGATTAATTTAATTAAATATATTCCAGTCTAGACACAGCTTTACAGCACAGATCCCTTATCCTCATAAAATTTCTATCTGGTATTTATTGGCAGTGGCGTACCTAGAGAGTGTGCGCACTCCACCTAAACAAACTCCCGCACCCCAGTACCCCCATTGAAGCAACAAAAAAAATCACGCTCAAATAGACAGAAATCACCTCATATTACTTTAGTTTCCTCGACTTCACCGTCGTTCATCTCCTTCCCCCATCAGTCGTCCCCCATTTCAAACTTATAGATATGACAATGGGTATTGCGTGACCCCACACCATTACATACTATGAATTCAATAACAAAGTAAATATAAAATATTGAGTACATCACACACCTTTGCTGGTAGGCTTCGTCTATTTCTTCTTCAGTTTTCTTCCATTGTCCATTTCTGGATTGTTTCTTATGCTTCAACTCCTGACTTGGTGTTCTTGTTGACCCTGTATTACCAGTTCTTAGAAGAAAAAAAGAAGAAAAGTTAGATATATTGTACAAAGGTATATTTTTTTCTGAATTGAACTTACAAAATGAAATACAATTTTTGGATTACTTCCTTTGTACACATTATTTGAAAAAAATAAAAAATAAAATAAAATATACTTGTTGCCAATTAACAAATGCAATGATTAAAGACCTATGTTTAAAAAAATAAAACTTCAAACTTGCTTATGAATTTGAAATCAGGATTAATTTTTTTTTTTACAAATAATTAATACTTCATCTCCTAAGCTTCTGTCCCCAGTGACCTGTGATTTGTCCATATATGGAAATAATGAAATTAGAATGCCCATATAGTATATGGGTATGATATGATATGCTCATAGTATAGGTGTGGTATGACATCAGCATACCATATACCAGAGCCGTAGATAGAGAGAGTTTGGCCAACTTGGCGCATGGACGTCATGTCGTTACCAAACAGCCCAGGCGCATGCGTGCGTATAGCTTTAATGTTTTGGTGACAACATGGCCAGTGTAAGTCATGTGATTGCGATCCACCCAATCACACGTGCGTATATCAAATCCCGTGAAACAGAGTTGGCCAAACTCTCTCTATCTACGGCTTTGCCATATACTGGTGTGATATGAAAAAATAGTGCCCATACATGAATGTGATATGACATCACCATGCCCATATATGAATGTGATATGACATCATCAAGCCCATATATGGGAAAATCAATGATGTTTGTCAAAGCAATCTGGTGTGGACAAAGTTTTAAGTGAAAAATAAGCGAAGATGGAATTGTTTTGATTTGTGTCTTATTAAATCTTTATAGATATAAACTGTTTATCATGACATTGGAGTGAAAACATCACAAATTCAAACATAGCAAATTTAAAGAATCTAATCCTTCAAAGAAACAAATGAATCCTTAAATTGTTAACCAGCTAATTTAAAGCCCTGCCCCTACTAACAAATTTATTTTCGACAAAGAAAAACATGTGACATTCCTAAATATGGTCATGGTGACATCACATCATGACCATATATAGAAACATCATGACTATATATGGACATAGGGCAGTTTTTCTTCAAAGATTTGATAATCTGAACAGAGATTTAGCGTATA